TTATTACTGTCTAGATCAGCTGTGATTGCATAACATTGGGAAGGTTTACGCTACCCCAATAGAACACCTTCTACCCCCGTGATTTCAGTTGGTTTGATTATACTATCTAGACTGCTTCTAATATCAACGAATCATAAGGCAGACGCTACCCCGCAAATTTATGGTATTGTGAGTTCTACTCAAAATTTCCGTGGGCCACCAAATCGCACAACTCCGTATACTGACCCGCTTAAGTACCAAATAAAATCATGACTTGTGGCAAGAAAAAGACTACTAATGACTTGGGCTTGTATGTGGGGCGATTGTCCTTCCGCTCCTCAAACAGGCCAAATCGGCAAATTTGGACGGAAATCACAATCTTTATAACTAAAGACGTTGTACTATACCCTCCTCTCGCTTCTAAAACTAACTCGTATCTACAGAGATGGATGTAGCCCTCACTTTGGAGGAAGATCTAGCATTACAGAAGCTACAGCAGGGCGAAATGGAGCTATTCACTACTTGCTTTTGGGTAAGGTCAGTTACGACTGCTCAGTCCAAGCAGTGATATCAGGAAGTCAATTCATAAATGGATCCCACCACGAGAAGGAGATGTTCCTACTCGGCTGGTCAATGTAATCCGTAAGTACTGAATGGCCATGTATCATGAAGGCTGCATACTGTTTTAGTACCTCATATGGGTACCAGTTCACTGAACGAACAACCATGCTCATGAAGTTATTCCATGTAGCAAAACCGGTTTTTCCGTACAATAGTGTGCGAGTATAACACTTAAATATGAAGCGTGTCAATTGCGTTATTTTAGTTTTGTTCCCACTGGGTTTATCTTTTGTTCGCACCCAAGGTTTCCCTCACTGAGGTTTCCCTGGTTTATACCGAATTGTACGGAACACGTTCAGTATTCCATGCACGAACAGCATAGCACCGATGTATTCTACTGAATTCCCACTGGTACTCTCCGCTACAAGAACATGTACCTGTATGAGTCCTGCCAGTCCAGATGACAAAACCTGTAAATCTACACAAAATTGTACTACAGATGACCATCAGCATAGCAAGATGCGGGGAGGCTGTTGAGGATACCATCTTCCTATCCTGGTATACTGTACCAAATGTTATTAACCCTTCCAGGCCGGGAGCCCGCTGAAACATCTAAGCTGCGTATGCTACATTAAACTTGGAGTTTGTATGTAAAAAGGTGCAGGGGATGGTTACAGGGGCGGGTCCTGGAAAAAGCCATGCTAATGTGGCATATAAGCTGTACAACTGATCAATATTTAGCCCGGCATGTCGAATAATGCTACGTAGTGCGGAAAAGAACGGGACAGCTCGCCGAACCCGCTGGACACACCCCCATCCCTCATTTTCCAAAATTTAGAAATCGGTACTTCCTTTACAAAAACTTATATTCAAAGTTGGTGTGTCACCTCTACAACTAACGCAAGCTTTTGATGCGATCGAATTGTGTTCTTTGCGCAATACCAAATCTAAATGAACCAAATAAGCCGGTGGAGCAATCACTTGACACACTCCGTTTTGCGCAAAAGTAGGGCGAAGATGATGCAGTTTAGGATGTGCCTATGCAATGACCAGGAGGAACCACTCAAGTTCAACAGATGCTTCAGGTGCAGGCTTACATGTGGCCGATCAAATGTGAACCTAATCATTTTCTTGCTGAATATATGCAGGTTAATGGACAGCTTAATATGCATGATAGCAACTACGGGCTTGTGCGGTGTCTCCTGCGAGAAGCTGGGGTTCCAGGTGTAGACGGCGTGCTTGGTATTTCTGCTTTTCGACGGACTCGGATTGGCTTCGCGTCTTCCACAGGAACTTGAGTACCATTCACCCATTCCTTGTGCCAAATATTCCAGCAAGTCATGGCCACACCCCGCACATTTCCCCGAGCACGCATGCAGAGAAAGATAGGACCCACATCGTTGCAGTCGCCACAGAAGTATGTCGTCGGAGACGCTCGCTTGGTGTCGTGGTGTAGCGTAGAGCAAATCTTGCATGCTCTCTGACGGCTCTTTGACTGCTTTCCTTTATCGCGCCACTCGTTCACCTGTCGTGCCGCATGCTTCGACCGCTGATTGGGGCCGACAGGAATATCTTCGTAGCGCGGTGCAGCAGAAGGAAGCTGGGTACCGAACGCATTGCCTTCGTA